TACCAGTACCATGCTGTTTTTGTTACTATTGCTCTGTAGTATAGTTTGAAGTCTGGTATCGCTATACCGCCTGATTCATACTTCCTGCTTAGCATTGTTTTTGCTATTCTGGGTCTTTTATTATTCCATATGAATTTCATGATTCTTTTATCCAAAATAGTCCTTTATTTGAATGTACCATGATTATTTAACCATTTTTTCCTTAATACTCAGGCATTTAGATGATTTTCATCTTTTACTACTATAGATAACTTTTCCCTCTGATTATTTTCATAAGTAACTGTCCAATCACACTATTGCCTTGGGCTATATTCCTAAATATAGCATCAAATATTTGTTTCTACTCAGTTGTATGGCTGACTTTCATAAAAGCTTTAAGAATGCCCTAAACTATAGTGCCTTGGTAAAAGAGTTCAAAGCGCCATAAGGAAGCCACAGAGATGTTTTAAAAACTGACAGAGAATGAAATCAGAGGTAAATCTGGTAGAGCAAATAGATGCTGGGTACACTGGCTGGATGTGAACCACAGACACAAAGGTCCAGTAACTCACTGTGTAGACAGCATCCAAAGACAGGACTGGTCAGGTAATTTTTTAAAAAAGAAAAATGAGTGCAACTACAAAATCGACAAGCTCTAAACACACAAAATTTCATAACTGGTTTTGGGAATTCTCATTTTCACGGAGCTAAAAGACAGAATAATTTTGAGCCTGTATGATATTTTGCAGAAAATAAATGTATACGATTGGTTAAACAGAAACAGAAGGGTGTAGGCTCAAAAAGTCTTACTGAGGGGCTGGGGCTATAGCTCAGTGGCAGAGCGCTTGTCTACCATGTGTGAAGCACTGGGTTCAATCATCAGCACCACATAAAAATTAAATAAAGGTATGCTGTCCATCTACAACTAACAAAAAAAAAAAAAAGTCTCACTGACATGAGACAAATGGTTCCCCTAAGGAACCATTAAAGTTTAAGGAAACTTTAATATCATTACATTTAATATTCATTAATAACTGTAAGAATTTATTTATTCATAAACTATCCACCATTGGTAATAGCTTGCTCAACAATAATTCTTATAACTTTTATTTATTTTATTTTTAAAATAGACACATTTATTCAACATCATAATTAGACTATTACATTTAGCAATCAACAGTATGGGTGCAAAAAAAAAATGAAGTCTACATTAAAACCTTTTGTTGGAATACAACACTTTCCACAGAACAGAAACTGAAATAACCTGCTATACAATTAGTTACAAATACAGTCCTCGAGTTTTTTGCCCATACACATGAGCATTGTCTAACTCATGTCTTCTTTGTAGCACAGAATCCCGGACACCACTATGCTTGGCTGATTTCACAAATTTGTTGTAACCTATATCTTCCCTGTCATTTACCGGGCTCTTCTCTCTTGCTAATCTTTGTTTCCTGGCAGTATTAAAACCTTCTGCCACTGCCACAGCTACTGCTGCTGCTGGAATCTACATAGCCATGTTGGTTTTGTAATTTAGCAAAGTATTGGCCTCCACCACCATAAGGTCCAGAGTTTCTGCCTCCAAAGTTTCCACCCTTCTTGGGTCCAAAATTTTATTATGACTGTTGTAATTGTCAAAATCTTTGTTGCTTCCACCACTTCCAAAATTGCTTCCATCTTTACCAAATCCATTGTAGCCATTGCTGCTGCCACCATATCTACCATGACCACTAAAGTTTACTCCATAACCAAAAATTATCATTTCCACCAAAACCACCTCCAAGACCACCACCAAAGTTTTCAGAACCACTTTGATCTCTTTGGCTAGATGAAACACTAGCCATGTCTTGCTTTGACAGGGCTTTCCTCACTTCACAGTTGTGGACATTCACAGTATGGTATTTCTGAATGACAATCTCATCCACAGAGCCATGGTCATCAAAAGTTACTAAAGCAAAGCCCCGCTTCTTTCTGCTGCCTTGGTAAGTCATGATTTCAGAAACTCCTATTTTCCCAAGCTGTTCAAAAGAATCTCGTAAGTGAAGTTTTTCAGTGTCTTCTTTAATGCCACCAACAAAAAGATCTTTTTCACAGTTAAGTCGCCCCAGTCTTTGGAAATCTCAAGACAGCTCTCTTTGGCTTTACAACTCTTCCATCACCTTGTGTGGTCCTACATTCATGGCTGCATGCACTTCCTCCACAGTGACAAACCCAAAGCCCCTAGAGCACTAGGTGTTTGGGTCTCATTACCACACAGTCCGTGAGTGTTCCCCATGGCTCAGAATGGCTTCTCAGTTCTCATCAGTTGTTTTGAAGCTCTGCCCTCTGAGGATGAATAGCACCTGCAGCTCTTCAGGCTCTTTGGGTGACTCTGATTTAGATATGAGACTTTAATGAGGCTTGGTGTCATCCCTGGGCAGAAAGGAGTAAGCTAACAAACATATCCCTAAAAGAATTTTAAAGAAGTAGCAAACACCACCTTCTTAGGTTTGAAATGTTAAATTTTCCTGAATATTCCAAATCAAAATACCATAGCTTCGTTTCAAACTTGAATGCTCTTTTATGTCATGAAGAAGTCATCTGATTGGTTACTGTGTGCTGGACAATGTGCTAAGCACAGGAAATGCAAAGATGATGAAGATACTATAACTGTTTCTTGTAAGATTCAAGTCAAATGAGACAGACTTATGGATACAATTAAAATGCATCATAAGTGCCACAGTAAGTATATAAAATGCTGTGAAAGCAAAGAAAAATGAAAGCTACCTGAATGACTGAGGTATTGAAATTGATGTCTGAGCTGGCCTTCATAAACATGAATGTTCACTACCTGGAGAGGACATTAGAATAGTTAGGAAGAGAGAAAGAACAGCATAAATGATCTGGGAGCAAATATGCAAGAGTATGTGGGTTCAGACTTCTCAACTCATATCTGCTTAGAGAACAGAATTCATGAGGAGAGTGATAAGTGTTAGGATTGAAGAAATAGGCAGGTGCCAGGTTATGGAGTATCTTATGTGCGTATAAGAAATGGGGAGCCATTTAAGAATTTTAGGGGGCTGGGGATGTGGCTCAAGAGGTAGCACGCTTGCCTGGCATGCGTGTGGCCTGGGTTGGATCCTCAGCACCACATATAAACAAAGATGTTGTGTCCTCCAATAACTAAAAAAGAAATAAATATCAAAAAAATTCTCTCTCTCTCTCTCTCTCTCTCTCTCTCTCTCTCTCTCTCTCTCTCTCTCTCTTTCTCTCCTCTATCTTTAAAAAAAAAGAATTTTAGGTGAGGGTGAATAACTAGGTAATTCCTAGAATAAATTCAAGGCCTAATCTTTCACTTGTATTATGAAGTGGAAGAGGGGACAAGGAAAAGAAACAAGACTCTGCCTCAAAACAAAAAATAAAAATGACTGGGGATGTAACTCAATGATAGAGAGCCCTAGGGTTCAATCATTAGTGGAAAAAATAAAAATAAAAAAAGAGACAAGACAGGGCTTTGATCATGATTAAATACATATGATGAGATATGATGGGCCCTTTTTTTCAAAGTCAAGTACTTTGGTGTTGGGAAATGTGAAAGGACTAATAAAGGCAGGAGTTATAAAGACAAAGATGAAGAAAACAAGATTTTCAAATATAGGAATCTGTAGGCTTTAGCTTTATTTAAAGAATATTAAGATTATAAAAATTACTTTATTTCAAAGGTGAAAATATAAAAACCACTTACATATAAAATTTAAGAGTATTGAAGCATCCAAACTTTTTAAGTTCTAGCTTTATAAATTTACTTAAACTTTATTGAGGCAACATTCATAGACATAAATATAAAGAATAGTAATCCTTAAGAGGATTAAAATACAGGGGAAAATAATACATTTTGCCAATGATAAAAAAGCACACAACTATTTTGTGCAGTTCTGTGGACTCTTACAACCTTCTCCACTGCAAAGAGGACCATGCAGAGTCAATTCATGGTTATTACCAGTGACTGGAGAAATGGCCACATGACCTATTCCCGACCAATAAGACATTAGCAGACACAAGGAAAAGTTTACTGGGAGAACCTCTGAGAAAGAGATCTTCAACTCTTTACAGAAAAAAAAAAAATGTTTTTCTTCCTCTGGTTGCTACCAGATCTGAATGGATCCATGGAGGAGCTAGAGACATCATGCGATAAGCCCAGGAACAAAGCTAACACTAAAGATGGCACAACAGAGAGAGGGAAAGGACCTGGATTCCTGACAGACTCTTTCCTACTTGAACTTGCTGTTGTATGGAACTGTCAATTTCCTTATTATCTAAGCCATTTGAATCATGGTTTCTCTGTTACTTGCAGCTCAAAGTCTCCCAACTGAAACACAAACAGCTGAGAAAAAATAAAAATTAACAAATGGTTATGATGTATTGAATGTTATCTAAAATTTTTCCTTTTGGAAAATCAATCTCATTTACAGTCATTTTAAAACTTCATTGGAAGTTTACATAATCCCTTAACCTCTGTATTGTTCAATACTTTGACACTCACATCTGACAATCTGTCCTCTCACAAATGATTGCTGACAAAGGCAAACAGAAGAGAAAGAGAGTAGCAGCTGAATCTATCTCTTGTTAAGGTGCAAATAGGTAGTTTCTATTTTACAGATGACTGCAAAGTTGTGGCAGGAAACTCTTCCCCATGGGAGCCCACAGAGATGGCACATGAAGGAAAGAATGTGACAATCTTTTAACAGTCTTTAAAAATTAAAACAAGTTAACACTTTCTTAAAATGAATAATACATCCTTCACTTATTTGCCTCTTGGCCATATTAGGAACATTCATATACATTGGGGGTGGGGGGTAAAGGGGATTGAACTCAGGAGGCACTCGACCACTGAGCCACATCACCAGACCTATTTTGAATTTAATTATTTAGAGACAGGGTCTCACTGAGTTGCTTACTGCCTTGCTTTTGCTGAGGTTGGCTTTGAACTCGTGATCCTACTGCACAGCTAAAGTTATAGGTGTGTGCCACCACACCTGGCTACATTTTTTAATAAACTTAAAAATAGTGCATGCAGTGTGCTAAATATAGTGTTTGGCACATGGTATTATTAGCTATTATTATTAGCAGTGCTCTACTTAGAGATCAAAATACTATGCTAAATGTAGCATAGTGTCCCAGTGTCTTTGAAGCTCCCACTAGTTGATTTGTAATGAATCTTCTTGCTTCCTACAGTTTGAGCTTTGCTTTATTCATCAATGCACTTGATTTTTTGTTTGTTGTTTTGGTTTTTGGTCCTGGGACTTGTGCATGCTAGGCAAGTGCTCTACTGAGCTACTACTGAGCTACACCCCCAGCCCTTATCAATTACACTTAAAATATTTAATCTCAGACCTAGAATCAGCTTTCCTTTTTTATATACAAGCAGCCACTTTAGCATTTCTTATCACAAAAAACCCATATGAGAAAGGTGGCAAGCCTAGGGAACTTCCTGGGCGGAGAGGTTTTTCTGTCAGAGCTGGCAGTGTTTGTGCATCCACCATCTTCAGAGTTTGACCATTGAGTTCAACAGTTCTGCAAAGATGAAAGATATACCTGAGTTACCCAAGCTGTGCATGCCCTGTAACCCCCTTCAAAACTTGTACAATCTTTTTTAGACAATTTTTTTGTGGCAGCTTATGTTATATAACTTGTATTTCAACACTATGTCAATGAGGTGTGATCTATCTTTTAATCACAGTGGTAGAGAAGAGTAGTTGGAATAAAGACCATATGACCTATACAGCCTGAAATGCCATCTGTCCCTTTCCAGAAAATGAAACATACAAATCTATACTAGGCAATATAATGGAGGGATAAAAGAAAAAATATGACATCATTTCTGGAGTTGTGGCAATTGTATCTGATGGAAAATAATTGATTTTTTTATATATATGTGTGTGTGTATACTTTACATATGTATACTGATATTTCTTATATATATATACACATGTATATATTTATACATACACACACACACACACACACACACACACACACACACACACATATTTTGGGTACCAGGAATTGAACTCAGAGTACTTAAATACTGAGCCACATCCCCAGCCCTATTTTGTATTTTATTTAGAGACAGGGTCTCACTGAGTTGCTTAGTGCCTCACCATTGCTGAGGCTGGCTTTGAACTCACCATCCTCTTGCCTCAGCCTCCTGGACCACTGGGATTTGCAGGTGTGAGCCACATAAAAAATGACAGTCAATAAAATTTCCTACTTGTAACTTTCTTTTAACTGTATAATTCCCTTCTCTCCTCAGGAAGGATACATTCATTTTCTTAGGTAGTCAGGTAGAATGTACTCTGCTATAGTGGAACAAAATCGATTTTATTTGGCTAACTCACAGTAAAATTTATGTTTTCTGTATATTTTACTATTGGAATTAAAATTTAAAACTGAGCCACATCTCCAGCACTTTCTATTTTTTATTTTGAGACAGGGTCTCTTTAAGTTGCTTAGTGCATTGTTAAATTGATGAGGCTGGCTTTGAACTTGAGATCCTCCTGCATTAGCCTCCCCAGCCTAGCCATTGGGATTTCAGGCATGCACCATGGCACCTGGCCATACAGTATTAATGAATAAAAATTTAGTCTATTTTAGTTCTACTTATAGTTACTTTCATACTTCTAAATTATGCTTATATCCATATCTTTTTAAATGCTTTTTTATTAGAAAAAAATTAGCACTGTTTATTTATTTATTTTTGCTGTGCTGAGGATTGAACACAGGGCCTTGCTCATGCTAGGCAAGCACTCTATCACTGAGTCATATTCTAGCTCAAGTTAGCACTTTTTATTGTTGAAAACTTAGAAGACTAATGTCAGAATTACATTTATATCATAAATGTAATATATGTAATGTACCTAGAACACTTATAACTGTATCTTGTATACAATGAGCACTATAAAATTATTATATATGATCATTATTCAGATAACAAAAGTAACTTGCTAAAATGTACTTTTAATATTTTGATGTATATTTATTCCATATTTCTGTTTGTATATTCTCACATATTTTACATAAATAAAAATTGATTTGGTATACATATTTTCTTAAAACTTGATTCTTTTCCCCTTCATCCATCCTCATATTTATTGAAAATTTTAACATTCATTCACTCATTTTATTGGATACACAGGATTCCATGATATTAGTACATTAATTTATTTACTTAATCCTCTACTGATATATATTTTCCTGTTTCCAAGTAGTATTACTATATATTTTTCATTATTAAAGATCTCTCACTCCCTGTCATTACTAAGGATAAAGGAGAAGAAAAACTGGTCTCTATATAACTTGGTTAGATGCTTAGCTCTGGATTCAGTAATTTAAGACATATCAGTAACACACTCAGGATTGTGCCCAAGACTAACAAGCCTGCATTGTAGTTGAAGTCAGTTCACAGGTGTCAGTTTTTGTTTTTTTAACATCTATATCATAACAATTTTTAGATGGGGGTAGGAGAGGAAATTTCATGACTATCATCAGGAAACCACAGATAAAAATAGGTCTTAAAAAATATCTCTAAATGATAGAAGTTAAGAGTCTGTTCTGCATGAAATGAAGGTCCTGGCATGCCTACTCACAAATGTTCCAGAAATGCTTTTGGTTATTCTAAACGTGCTTTTGGTGAAGGTAGTGTACTACCTCGGCTTAAAGGTTAACCTGATCATTGTGAATTAATATTGCTATAAGTTGAGAAACAGCAAGATACTTATACCATCAGGTTATATTGTTTAATTAATTATACATATATCTAAAAGATGCTGTAAGTATACTCAGTGTAAGCTGATTATTTCCACATCAGGCTGGGCAAGGAGAGTAGGTATTTATTTGAGGATAGCAGCTTGTTTCATACGCTCATTCATATTTATTTATTTATTTATTTGGTTTTTGGTGCTTGGGGATTTGAACCAGGGCCTCACGCATGCCAGGCAAGCTCTTTACCACTGAGCCACATCCCCAGCCCTTGTTTCATATTTTGAGGATGGTAACATGAAGATAAGGTAATAGAAGACATACTTGTCAAGTTTCAGGTAAAATAAAGTAGGGAATGAGCAAGCAACAGATTTGACAAAATTGGGGATATCAGGAAAAAAATATGAGATAAATATAAAATACTGCTTTTATATTAAAAATATATTCACTCAAATATTAATTAAATACTTAAGTCAGGACTCTCAATAGGAACTATACAAAGGTTGTTCAATTAAAAAATTATTTTTTAGGGTTATCATTGTTTAGCTCTCTGAGGTCATTAATATGAGCAAATATACTTCATATACATCAAACTTATCTGGGGTATACTTTGTTTTTTCTTTTTGTTTTTGTGGTACTTGTGGTCAAACCCAGGGTCTCTACCATTCCTTTTTAAATTTTTATTTTGAGACAGGATCTTGCAAAATTGCCCAGGCTGGTCTCAAACTTGTGATCCTCCTGCTTCAGTCTCCCAAATAGCTGAGATTACACAATGCACCACCATGCCCAGCTCTGGGATTCTTCTTGTAAAATATAAACAAAGAAAAGTGGAAGTAATATGTATTCATTAAAGAAAAATGAGGAGAACAAAACATTTTCCATAATTTTACCAGTCTTCCAATTAAAAAGCATGAAATATGTGATCAGAATGCAACAGAGTCTTAGCAGACAACAACAACAAAAAATCACTTAAGAAATTGGGCATATTTAGCTTGGAGAGAAGACAATCCAATCATCCTTCAAACGTGTGAGAGTTAACCTGGGGAACATTAGATATTTAGAATTACCCCAGATTTTTTATGGCTGACAAACTCAAATGAGCCCGGGGCCAAGGAGAGTATATATTCAAGACCAGCAAGACAGGCATAGGGCAATAGAGTCAGGAAGGGACAACGCAGAACTAAAAAGCAAAAAAATAGACAACTAAATGATCCACCTAAATAGACAACTCTAATCCAACTCCAGCTAAGGGAGAAAACTAACCCAGAGTTGTTGGAGTATTCATTTTTGGGGGGGTGGGGAGTACCGGGGATTAAACTCAGAGGTACTCAACCACTGAGCCATATCCCCAGCTCTATTTTGTATTTTATTTAGAGACAGGGTCTCACTGAATTGCTTAGTGCCTTGCCGTTGCTGAGGCTGCCTTTGAACTCATGATCCTCTTCCCTCAACCTCCCCAGCTGCTGGGATTACAGGCATGCACTATGGTGCCCCACAAGTATCCATTTTAAAAGAAAAGCTAGAGGAATGTAGCTCAGGAGTTTTGTACTTGCTTAGCATGCACAAGGCTCTGGGTTCTATCCCCAGCATTCACATATTTGTGTGTGCACACAAACACACACACACACACACACACACAAGCAAGAAATTGAGATATTTTAGTAATTGTCAATTCATAAATGTTGGCAATTAACTTAAAAACAAAAATTAATAGAGTACATGCCAACCTCCCCTACCAGAAAATGGTTGCATATGTGGGAATCCTCTACAGGCATAAAGTAGATTTTCCAATCTCTGTTCTAGGGAATAGAATTTAAGAGCAAAGTAAAGGTACAGAATACAGCTGCCTTTGGGTGGTTGTGAGTTCCAACTGAACTCAAAGAACCAAACTGAGCTGAATGGCCTTGGATGAGTCTCCTAAGACACTTCCACCTCTACAACCATTAGTTATTTCAGAAAGCTTTTTCCTTATCAGCATCAGACATGAATATGCTAAAAAGGACTCATTTTGAAAGCATCTAAATGCAAACAGAGAAAAGTATTTGTTATCTAAATATGCATTATTTATTATTGGGGGAAAATGGTTTGAACAGTAGGAAAATGGTCAAGTAAACCATGGTATTTTATAAAACATGCAACCCATTAAATATATCTACAAAAACCAAGTAGAAAGGGACTTGGGAGCTGGGTGCAATGATAAGCACCTATAATCCCAGCAACTCAAGAGGATGGAAGCTCAAGGCCAGCCTTGGCTCAAATAAAAGATAAAAAGGGCTGGGGACATAGCTCAGTGGTAGGGCTTCAATTCCCAGTAAAACACACACACACACACACACACAAAAAAAAAAAAAAAAAAAACCACACAGACATGGGAAAACCTGTAGATCTTATAGATCCTCTTTTTTCCTGTGAGAGGTTATATAATTATAGTATTTACAAAGGCATTGGATGGGGCGGGGGGTGGGGGCTGGGGTTGTAGCTCAGGGGTAGAGCACTTGCGTAGCACATGTGAGGCACTGGGTTCAATCCCCAGCACCACATAAAAATAAATAAGACAAAATAAAGGTATCATGTCCACCTACAACTAAA